AATGAGCAGCCTCCATAACTGGTGCCTGATAACAGTGGAGAAAGCAGCCGCCTACCGTCTTAACCCGAATATAACGCCCGGTCATTATAGCTGTACGTGGGTCAACTTGCAGTCCAGATGCACAGATGTAATATGACCGGGTATTGTATTCGGGTGAGGCTGAAGCGAGAAAGGGGGTGATATGAGCACCCTCGTAAAGTGGTGGTCCCCTCACTCCTCTGTGTTGGAGGTGCTATCATTCGTTCTATGCTGTTTCTCTGGTTGTGTGTTTTCTCGTTTTATTCGGTAGTAGTAATTCTTTCAATTGGAGTTGACTTAGTTGAGTGATTGTCAGTCGTAAATAGTTTTGTCTACGGAATGAGTGCACGTCAATTTCTGTTTGACTACTTGGACTGTATTTTGTTTTCCTTCTGCTTTTTCAATGAGAATTAAGTGGTTTCGAGTCTTTTGAAGGCGAGTGACTATAGCTAGGTCACGACATAGCATAAAAAACTACGCTGGTCGAAAAAACTCCCGTGTTAATTGTTTATGATTATTAAGATTTCGGGCTTCGGAGTTATCAGCTACTATAGCTAGGTACGTCATAGCTATAAAGCTATGGTGATGAAACTCCTGTGTTGATTGTTTAAGTTATCAGCTACTATAGCTAGGTAGGTCACGCCATAGCTATCAAGCTATGGTGGATGAAAGTCCGGTGTTGATCGTTTATGATTATTAAGAGTTCGAGCTTTTGACTTATCGTATGTGAGTTTGACTCTACTGAATGAGTGGGGTCAAATTCACATGAAGACTTTGAATTCTTTGACTGTAATTTTTTCATTTACTCTCTCACTGCGGATTGCCATTTTTCGAACTCTTTTTCTTCGAATCTCTTTTCGAATGGGGCAGAGGGCTCACGAAGACTTTTGACTGGAATCTTTTCATTTACTCTCTCACTGATTCTTCGTGTGCTTTGTCCCCCTTGCTTCTGGACATCTCCCCTTTGGTTTTCTTGTCTGTCTTTTTTTCCCGGCCGTCTCTCTCCCACTTTTACTGCAGCTGCGGATAACGTTTGCATATGTTTTTTAATTCCCTGTTTTGAATTTTTAATGCATGTATAGCCTGACCGTCCGGAGTCATCGGGGATTATTTTTAGAAGGGAAAGACAAAAGTATTGGTTGAGTGAGCATTCCTCTTTAGTCTATTCCTCGTGCTGCAGGGACTCCTATTTGTGTATATTCTTCATCCTGCTGCCTACCGTCTTCCCGCGAACAGAACGCACCGTGATTACAGCTGTATTTGGGGCTAGTTTCTGTCGAGATACGGCGATAATGCCCGTGCGTTCTATTTGGGGGAAGAGGTAGCTGCTGCTGTACTGTCGTCTTCGCTCGAGTAGAACCCCCCGGTTGTATTTTGACTTTCTGTCGAGATACGGCGATAATGCCCGTGCGTTGTATTCGGGGGAAGGGGTAGCTGCTGTACGGCCGTCTTCGCTTGAGTAGAACCTCCGGTTGTATTTTGACTGAAAACTGCCTCAGATACAGCTGTAATGGCTGGGCGTCTTCTTCCGAAATGTGAAGACGGTCGCCGATGACGATGTCCCCATGGCTGTGTATGCC